TGGCTGAAATACTGCCGATGTGACGTTAAATATTAACTCACTCACTCATAATAAGGAACATCCTTTAAAACAACTGACTGCTGAGCATTTTATTAATATTGGGTAGTATTGTGCACAACCACCAGCTAAAGTGATGGCATTAATCCTGCTGGGATATCGTGCAGGAAGCTGAAGCACCGTAAGTGCCCATTAGTTTATATGACACATCCTGAAATGCGTAAATTTGCAGAAACGAGAAATTATATCTGCATGAATTATTTCATGATGCGTTCATGGCAGTATTCGCACTGTTTACATATGTATCCTTTTCCTGGCTACACATGGATGATCATTACATCATCTGGATTCAGGAATAACTGGACATTAAGATAACTTGTCAAACAATAATTTATCTGACATTGCTAGCTAAAACATACATGCTGAAATACTCTTGTTGATGATTCTGATGTTGTAATACAACACCGTTATAAGGGCGTGGAACGTGGACTTGGTGTGAACTCATTACAAAACCGTATTTATAGATTTAAAACATCTTGGAATATTAAGGAGTAAATATACCATTAAAAATAGCATGTTGTGTTTGTTTATATTGTGTTATAATTTCATTATATTGACAACTATTCATTTTTTGAAACAAATACTCCCTGATATTGAAAGCATAGGTGCATTTATACCTTTTAAGACGCCTTGTGAAATACTCGTACAGTACAGCCATGCATGTTGCAAATACTGGAACTGACTTATAAAATGCTAAAATCACTTGGTGATGCAGGTAGAACATCCATTCTGTTCCATTTGGGCTTTGGATTCGTATAGTTACAAAAAGAACTTGGCAACATTCCACTATTTCTACATGTATTTCAGCAACAACTTTCAAATAATCCCTTTCAATGTGCATAATCAATGATTACACCGCCATCCCTGGAGTAACTTCTTTTCCACAGAGGAACCAACTCATCCTTGTCAAAGGATTTTAGGAACGGGCACGAAAACACACATGTCTACGGCACTTGAAGATGAGAAAAACTCCAGTTTAAGCACACTAATTGACAAAGACAGATATTCGCTCACCTACGTCAGGATAGATCATAGCTAGGAAGAGGTACTCTCACGTACAAAACAGATATCACAGACGGTTTCAAATTAGTCCCAATACATGCATCACTGTGGCACCTACATAGGCTCATATGGCAAGGTCAATGATATTACTTCACCAGGTTGGTTTTGGTTGTAGATCCAACATAAATTTTTTTTATCAGCTTTCACAAGCCATCTGTTGGATAGCACAACATTATTATGATATCAAACATATCCACCACCTGTTACATGATTTCATATGTTTTGCCAACACAAACTCAAACTCAACAGGCACTCAAACAATATCATCACTTCTGCGGATGTTTCAAGATCTTGGCATTCCCCTAGCAGCCCACAAGACGGAAGGACCACCTACATGCCTGGAGTATTTAGGTATTACTCTTGATGGCTCATTCCGAACTTGCGGGACAGGGTCTGAATGCAAAATTGACTTTAATTTGAGGAGGGCATTCTTACACAACTGGAATGGAGTCTCAATGTTTATTACTGTTGAGGCCGATAGCCCATTCATCGCCAACCGCATGCCTGCCCATGAATGTGCTGATGTTCCCCTGAGGCAGACAACAGAGCGGAACTTACATCAACTGTGGGACAGCACACTGTCCGAAAAGACCTACAAGGTATATCAGTTTGGTTTTGAGGCGTACATCACCTTTACGACTCTGTGTGGAACATCATGGTCTACTAACCTCCCACCCTTGACAGAGGACACCCTACAACTGTCCTATCTATGTGGCATCAGATTCATGTACCTGAGAGCAGGTACCAACAACCCATGGATCTCTGGAGATGTACTAGCCATCGTCCGGGCCATCAAAAAAGACCAAGGACCTTCTAGTCGAGTCGGTTACCAAACACAAACGAAGTGCTCAATAATTTGTGTCATGAATTGCATCGGGGTCGATTTCAGACAAACATCATCCTACTGATGAAAGCAGCATTCATTGCATTTTTTAGATGCAGAGAATTTACCTGTGACAAGTTTACTCCTCATTTCCACCTATGCATTAGTTCAGTTAAATTTCCAAGTGATCTGTCTTAGTTTGATCTGACATTGAAATCATCCAAAACTGACCCGTTCCATCAAGGCATCACCCTGACCATTAACAGAATAGACAACATCTGTCCAGTTATGAGCATGTGGCACTACCTGATCTGGCGGATGCAATCTACCTGCCAACCCGACACACCTTTATTTGTGGCACCCAATGGTGCAGCGCTTTCTTGATCATTTTTCATTCAACAACTTCAGTTGGCTACATCCATGATGTGTATAATGGATACTTATTTTGAATCGGGGCAGCAACATCAGCAGTGAGCGCCAACATTCCAGATCACATGATCCAGACATCAGGATGATGGTCATCCCAGTGCTATACACGGTATATCCAAACATCCAAAAACACTATGGCCAACACCCATAGACTCCTGACTATTATTTTATGAAGGTCCTCTCAGGAAGTCTTGTGCTGGGGGACCATTAAGGACCAAGACATCCTGCATGTTTTCTTGATAAACTGATCATGAACCTTACATGTTACCCTTGTTACCATAAGGTCTGTGTAAACTCACGCCATGGTAAGGCTCCATGGCGCCCATTGTTAGGCCACATTCATACACATGTTGCCTGTCAATAGCTATTCACATATTCTCAGGTTGTAATAATATTCATGTTTGTGTACTCAGTAGATTCCTTCAACACACATTCGTAATATTCAAATCATCTTACCATGTTTTTCTTGTAAAGTCAGTAAAGCCAGTCTCCATCACCATAATGTCTCTTTTGCCATGTAGGTGCAGTGAATACTAGTCGTTATTTTTAGCACTCATAACTATGTGCAGCATGTCATATAGTATACTGGAACATAATCTAACATGATGTTCCCATTTTCATTAATTACCACTCACTTGTTGGGGGATTCTCGGTTGTCTACCTAGTTTCCAGCCGATCATTTGGCACTTATCCACACATTCATGTGGAATATATCCAATCTCTTAAAAATCAGATCTTAGTTCTCGCTACAGCTAAACAAAAATCTGAGGACATTCCATTATGGGTCACATCAGAACGACCTTTCGCGAATTTTGACCGACCAATGAATGACTGACAAGAAATCAACATTAGCCAATCAGAAGGCAGCTTTCTTGAGCTTCAGGCGTGCGTGCGTGCCCACCGACATACCATGCCGCACCTTAACATGAATACCCTACTCAGACATACACTGGACAAAATATCATCCATTCCAGACAATCCAAAACTTGGAAATACCACCATTCCAAATGGAAATATGACCATTCCAAAATTTGTCAAGGTCATATTTCCAAGCTTGGATTTGTTTGGATTTGTTTGGATTTGATTGGATTTGTTTGATATTTTTGGATTTTTTTGGATATGTTTGGATACAACATGTCATAATCATATCTGTTAAACATTGTACAACTTTTGACCTTATGTCAGATTAGTAATGACATGAAAGTAAATAATTAAGTATTTTGGCACTATTTACCACGAAAAGACCAAATCATGAGCAAATTTAACTAAAGGAATTTCTGTCATTTAACAAGATGTTGAGGTAGACGTCCGTGCCAATCTTGCACAGCAGGCAGATCTCATTGTGGAACAGCACAAGGTCCACCCTAACCCCTGCTACCAGAATGAGAGCGGCAAGATCTATCCCAGCAACCGCCCGTGCCCACCCTTGGTGCTGGTGCAGTACTGGGGTGAAGAAAGATTTGAGCACGAGATTCACAGCTACCAGGATCTCTCGGAATTCCTGGTTGACTGATCTCCCAGTCAGTCCACTCTTCATCACAAACGCCGCCGCCCGCCTCACCACCGCACTGTTCCGAGCTCTTCCTCCCGGAGAGCTCGACCTAGCCAGGAGGCTCCTGTCTAGGAAGAAGCAGTAACTCGCCACACCAGCTCGCCGACGCCGTGCCTTCCCACGCTTGACACCCCCCCCCCCCCCCCCCCTCCCCAAGCCCAAACTTTTCCACATTATTATTATCCTTTTACTACCCTCACCCCACCCAGCCAAACCCACCTCCCTAGATTAAATTTTTAGGTTTACTTCATTTACATTTTTTTGGGTCCCACTTCTTATCTATTCATTACACTTTTTTTCCTATTTAGAATAAGTGCTTCCCCGTGTGCGAGATACGCTAAAAGTAAATTATTACATGCGGAAAGCGCACATTAAATCTCCGAACGAACGAACGACAAGTAGTGAATGTTTGAGATAAGTTTATTAATTATTATATATAGTTTAAACTCAATAAATAATTCATAGTCTTTTGATTGTTCAAATTACTAATAAAACATATTTTAACTTGTCCCTTCTAACCATACTTCCAAACAATTCCAAACAATTCCAAACCATTCCAAGTCATTCCAAACATTTCCTGTGTTTGAAATATGTTTGGAAATGTTGCCAATCCAATTTTGGATTTTCCGTAAAGATCGATCCTTCCAAGCTTGGGAAAGGTTGGAATGAGCGATCTTTCCAAAGCAATCCAACGTTCATTCCAAATTGGAATGGACGCTCCTTGGTCTTGTGATAGTATACTGTCTCTGACCCGACTGGTCCTTGTTTCAGCCCCTTAATGCCGACCGCCAGGCAGGGTAACAACAAGTATCCTCATTTAACATTTTCTGGTATGACGCAGCCAGGGATCGAAACCCTGACCTTCTGGTCTCCCGGGGATGCACTACCACAAGATCACAGGGGCAGTCTTAAATGAAATAGTCATATAATCTTATTAAGTGACAGAAAGTTGACAGGGAAAACTGCCCTATGATTTAGTAAATTACGTATTGTCTCAGCAGGATAGTATTCTTCTTCTTTTTTCCAATTCCTTTTATTTCGGCCATATAACTGCGAACATTCTGAAGTTCATCTCACCTCTGCTGTGCTGCAAAGCTCTGTGACTTGCCAACAGCAGCCATCATCTTCCCAGCACGAGTCTTGTCATGGCTGGTCTGAGCTTTCAAGAACCGACCCATTGCATTCTCCTCTTGAGACACAGCTGCACAACATAGGTAGTACAAAGAACACTCATCTTCAGAAAACCTTCTGAAAACTGTCTGACATTCTCCTTACTTTTTACAAGTGGAAGCCAAATTACCTATTGAGCCTGATATCTGACTAATTATCTGAATGACATTGCATGACAATTTCTCTCATTCAGATAATTAGTCAGATATCAGGCACAATGAGTAATTTGGCTTCCACTTGTAAAAAGTAAGGAGAATGTAAGACAGTTTTCAGAACATTACATGACAATTTCTCACTGCCATCATAAAGCTGGAATAGTGCTGAGAACAGTGTTAAATAACAAACAAACAAAGACAATTTCTCTAAATGTTAACCAAATACTAAAAAGAGCAATCAGAAGATGTCAATCCCCCCCCCAGCCCCCCCCCCCCCCCCCCCAATAGAAAAAGGCACCACTTCAGCCCCTGGTTGATACATGTACAAAGTTTGAGTGAAAATCTTTCAAAATTTACAAGCTCTGCTCCTGAAACAGGATTGACAGGTGGATGAACGAATGGACAGACAGATCACATGATGACTATATATCCTTATATCCTATAAATTGCCTATACATAAACAATACTGACACAGAACGGCCCTATAAGTTGCCCTTACATAAACAATACTGACCCAGAGTGGAGCCGCAAGTTGACCACACATAAACAATACTGACGCAATCGGGACCTGTAAGTTGCCCTTACATAAACAATACTGACCCAGACCGGAGCTGTAAGTTGTCCATACATAAACAATACTGACACAGAGTGGCCCTATAAGTTGCCCTTACATAAACAATACTGCCCCAGAGTGGAGCCGCAAGTTGACCACACATAAACAATACTGACGCAATCGGGACCTGTAAGTTGCCCTTACATAAACAATACTGACCCAGACTGGAGCTGTAAGTTGTCCATACATAAACAATACTGACACAATCAGGACCTGTAAGTTACCCTAACATAAACAATACTGACCCAGACCGGAGCTGTAAGTTGACCACACATAAACAATACTGACGCAATCGGGACCTGTAAGTTGCCCTTACATAAACAATACTGACCCAGACCGGAGCTGTAAGTTGTCCATACATAAACAATACTGACACAGAGTGGCCCTATAAGTTGCCCTTACATAAACAATACTGACCCAGAGTGGAGCCGCAAGTTGACCACACATAAACAATACTGACGCAATCGGGACCTGTAAGTTGCCCTTACATAAACAATACTGACCCAGACTGGAGCTGTAAGTTGTCCATACATAAACAATACTGACACAATCAGGACCTGTAAGTTACCCTAACATAAACAATACTGACCCAGACCGGAGCTGTAAGTTGACCACACATAAACAATACTGACACAATCAGGACCTGTAAGTTGCCTATACAATACTGACTCAGATTGGACCTATAAGTTGCCCTAATATAAACAATACTGAGCCAGATGGGACCTGGAAGTTGCCCTTCATAAACAATAATGACACAGAGTGGCCCTGGAAGTTGCCCTTACATAAACGATACTGACCCAGAAAGGAGCTGAAAGTTGCCCTTACATAAACAATACTGACCCAGAACGGACCTGTAAGTTGACCACACATAAACAATACTGAGCCAGATGGGACCTGGAAGTTGCCCATACATAAACAATACTGACAGAAATGGGACCTGTAAGTTGCCCTTACATATCCTATATCACTGTCTATAAAGCGTCCCCACGTATAAGGTAACCCCCCTGAACAAGCCTTCAAAATCAATGCTAATTTATATACCCCGTCTATAAAGCGAATCAGAATGAAGCACATTACCAGTGCATACACAATCCCTACATTTGCAATAAAAACGTGTTTGTCAAAACAATGCCATCGTAAATGTTAGGTAACAAACTCACCACAGAGTCTATCTTGGTATCTCTCAATGACTCTCAGCAGATCCATGGAGGACTTCTGAACAGCCCTGAACACCTAAAAAAGATAGAGATGGTAAAAACCTATTCAACAAAAAACATACAATTTACTATAAACATAAAGCTTATACAATGACTTAATATGTAAACATCCAAGTGTGAAGATGTGATCCAACATGTCCAACTCAAACAAGTCTCTACCTGGATTAACTCCTTTGAGGGTCAATTTGAGCATCAAAGCACTAAAGCTGTGAAGCAAAACCAAATATTCTGAATTGAAAACAACTAAAAGTGATACTGACAATTTGCTCAATGAATATTATTGTGTCAATGAAACCAGAACAAAAAACAACAGGCATTAGGGAATGTGATTGTGGACCGTAAAGTTATAGAAATAAAGGCAAAAAGCTCCATAGCTCCAATGTTCTAGAATTTGTACATCACAGGTCACATTATCAGACCTGTGAAGATCCGGGGTAGGATAGGTCTTCAGCAACCCATGCTCGTGGTAAAAGGCGACTATGCTTGTTGTAAGAGGCAACAAAAGGGATCAGCTGATCAGGCTCGCTGACTTGCTTGATACATGTCATTGTATCTCAATTACGTGGATCGATGCTCATGATGTCAATCACTGGATTGTCTGGTCCAGACTCGATTATTTAGAGACCGCCGTCATATAGCTGGAATATTTCTGAGTGCGGCGTTAAACAGCAAACAATCACATAATCAGAAATTAAAATCACACTTAAAAATATGCCAAAGACATAAATGTTTATGTAACAGTCATACTTACTGTATGCTAAAAAACACAAAGCCTCATCATGGTCTAAGTTTATATTACATTTCAAATGTTGTGGCAGCCATGCTGATAAAATTGGTTTCGAATCCTGTATGACATTGACAAGCACACTTGCTGTGACCAAACACTAAACGTGAAATGACACACCGATATTCCGATGCATCGCGATACTTGACCAACGATATAATACACATTACACGTTGGTCTCTTTATCGATATGCCATGATACGGATTGCACATCTTAGTACAATGTTCCCTTGCTATTGCACCCATCAATATAGCGCTAACTCTGTGATAGAGCGTAGTAACTTACTTACATTTTAATAAGCTGAAGTTTCTTCACTGACACAATGTTTTTCTCAATCACAAAAAAACATTATCAGCGCGAGCAGGGAACACCGGAAATACCAGTCAATAAATACGAACTCAAGTACGCAATTCAATCCTATTATTATACTATCATGATATAACATTTATACTAAGTTTTCCTATAATAATTAGATCCACAACAAGTGCTTTTATGAGTTATCATGGTGTAACATTTATACATCATTTCATATAATTATAGTTTAGCAAGTAATACTTATCATCAGGTAAAATGCATACATAAAATATCAGTAGTTTCGGTTATAGCTTTTTAGATAGATGCTAGCCTAAGGTAATGGGAGCTCATCTCCTAGACATACTATTCAATAAGACAAGAGTTACGTCTACATAGTTAATTGATTTGAAGCTTTTAGATAAATGCTTGCCTAAGGTATCAAGATCCCATCTCCTAGACAAAAGATATGTCTACATCGTCTTATAGATTACCTTGAACTATTTTATTTAAGTAAATCTGTCATCACCTATAATAGAATAACATTCAGCAATTACTTCAATTTAGACTCATTAAGAATTAGCCCCCATACAAGCTCGTCAATAGTGTATTAAGGATTAGCCCCAATACAAGCTCGTCTATAGTGACACCATAATCTCTTTCAAAGCACCCAGTAAATATGTCAACAAGATTAGTGCCAGTCAAACAGTATTAACAGGATTAAGTATTCCCCTCTGTCTAACCATTCATTAACCTGTTACCATAAGGCACAGCCTATCGTGTATCAACCAATCATATTCCATTTTATTGTTCTAATTTTTGTTAAATACATACAGAAACCAAATGCGAGGCAGAAGGGGTTTGACGCTCATACCAAGCAGATCTCTCTCCCACAGCCCAGAGGGTTGTACCGTCAGTAGTACAGGTAATGATGGTTCTGGCTCACTTCCACTGGAGCCGGATTCATATACCTACACCATCACTACAGAGGGAATTTTTTATGCCAAAATGACTATGCGATTCAACGATAGTCATAAGATTCAGCTAAATTGGCTCTAGCTCACCACCACCTGGAGTCTATGATATAAATTTTTATAGGTAATGATGGTTCTGGCTCACTTCCACTGGAGCCAGATTCATATACCTATACTGCTACTACAGGTGGCATTTTTTATGCCAAAATGACTATGCGATTTAACGATAGTCATGAGTTGTATTAAACGAAACATCAATATTAATTAATAATGGATAAAAATTTACTATAGCCCACGAGGATATTGGAAAGGTGTAGGAGCAATAAAAAAATTAGCCACCGCAGCTAAGGTATCTAAAGATGTGGCCAAGGATTGGTTAAAGAAACAAGCGTTGTGGCAAATATACTTACCGGCACCGCGTTATATACCGAGGAAGAAGTTTGATATTTTTACAACGAATGAAGTTCATCAGGCTGACCTCTTGTTTCTTCCCCACAATAAGGTAAAATGCAAAACGTATATAAATACGCTTTAACAGTAGTGGATGTGGCTAGTCGATACAAAGAGGCTGAGCCATTAACCTCGAAAGAATCAACAGAGGTATCTAATGCACTGAGTCGCATATATAAACGCGGACCACTAAAATGGCCTAAGCTATTTCAAGTAGATCCCGGTCGCGAGTTTATGGGATCGACAACAAAACTGTTAACAAAGCACAATGTCGAAATCGTCTGTGGTGAAAGAGAGGCCCACCGCAGTCAAGCTATCGTCGAAAGATTTAACAGGACATAAGCGGAACGTTTGTTTGGCTATCAGTATGGGATCGAAATGAAATCCGAGCGATTGAGATCAACCGAATGGGTGACACGATTATCAGCCGTTGTATCAGCGCTGAATAATGAAGTAACGAGATTAATAGGGAAGAAACCATCCGATGCGATTAAAATGAAATCCGTGACTTCTGAATCTTCAGCACCGAGGAGAGGCAAAGAACGAAAACTTGCGGATAGAGTAAGGGTAAGATATTTATACCAGCCCGGTGAACTCGAAGGAGGCCTACGTCGCGCAACCGATCCCATATGGTCCCTTAAGACGTATAACATTAGTCGATTGGTTACGAAAGAAGGAGAGCCTATTCTTTATTATCTTCAAGATGGACCGGGTAGGGCATTTGTTCGAGAAGAGTTGTTCATAGTTACCGACGGTACGGTATTACCACCATAACCATAAGCATAGGTAGTTACACCATCATTATCAATCCATCTCTTTGTATCTAAGGGGGATAATGATGTCTTGTTCATTCTTAATCCATATATCCTATGATTGTAACTTCTTAAAGAGTTCATCTCGTGTTTGAATGTTCTACCGTTGAATAATGATTCTTTATACTGTTCGTATTGATATGCTTTTTTACAACATACTTCTTAACGCCCTTAGCTTTTCTTATCTCTCCATTATCGGACTTCTTTATAGAATACATCTTAGGTCTTAATCCTACATACTCCGCTATAGGGGTCCCAGCACATTCATCCTTCATCTTACCTAACACCTTTTTATTTACAACGCTGTGCAGTGGATTATCTTTAGGGTAATTGCTCGTGTCGTACATATCTATTTTTTCTGCCATATCTTTATACACATCCTCGGTTTGTATTTCCATCAACAAAGAATCTGTGTCGGTATATAACACCTCGCATCTATTGCCGTATTGCTTCTTAAGTTCGTTGTAATAAAAGTCATACATTAAGTGTTTTGACAAGTCGAGAATACTCATACCGACGTACACCGGTCTGTTGAATTTTATATTACTCTTCTGCATATGCAACGCGGCTAAGTCGTTATCGAATATCTTGCTTCTGTTAAAAGCCGGACTGGCTATAAGTTTCCTGAGTCTTTCTTCCTCATTAGATCTGACTAATTTAACATCAACACGCTTCCTTAGATTCTCCATAGTTTTACCAAATACTGAGTTATTCATGAGCTTATACAGATTCTTTTCGAAATCACTGGTAGCTATCTTTCTTAAATCTGTGTTCAACCTTATATAGGGCTCCATCCAAGGGCTTTGATCGAACTTTAGAACTCTGTGTATTTTCTTAAGTTTCATACCTAACGATAGATATAACCGGAGATTTCTGTAGTGAACTATATATTTTGTTTTATCCATCAAATTTGGTACGAGTTTTTCTACGTTAGCTAACCTACTATTACCCATCAAGGAGCGTTGATATTCCGACATCCAATCTTTATTAACCATTAATCTTTCGGGAGCTAGCGGATAACTGTTATGATCTTTATGCAACGAACTTGGATATTCCAAGTCAACTTCTAGTATGTACCCTTTATTCACATTGATATTATGGACATCATTCACATTAATATTATCGACCCATTCAAAACCACCCGTAGGTAAAGGTTGACTCATAGCCCATCTGTACAAATTGTTAGCATCGAGATATAATATATGCGTGTCGGGTTTACTCGGATCGTATCCTTCCACTAATTTATTATTAGCCTTAGAATACCTTTTAGCTGCCATCGATATACCACCTCTTAATCCTTTCTCAATAAACAAGTGCATATCGTAATCTGTGAGTAATTTTAGTTCTACGCCGGTCTTCTTCAACAATGCATCCCACGATAGTCCGGGACTGGAATAGTACCATGCCGGGTCCAAGCCGTATTGTTTTAAACATGTCTTTCTAAATATCTCGAATATATCGGCGAGTAACAGTACATCGGTTTTTAAGTACAGATCGTGATAATTGCCTAAATTCTTACAACCTAATTTATCCCACACCGTCAGAGCGTGTTCATAATCGGCATCTGTTATTCTAGATTCTGTTAAGTTACTATAGAATGATTCGAGGGGTGGTAATTCAGTTTCTTCGAATCTAGACCAATCATCCATATATTCGTAAGGATATACACCTTTTCTCGGCAACAAATGACGTGTTATCTTATCG